TTTTCAATTAGGATGATATATATATATATATATATATATATATATATATATATATATATATATATATATATATATATATATATATATATATATATATATGTATATATATATATAAATGTATATGATTGGGATTTATATATATCTCTATATATCTCTCTATATATATATATATATATCTCTCTATATATCTCTCTCTCTCTCTCTCTCTATATATATATATATATATATATATATATATATATATATATATATATATATATATATATATATATATATATATATATATATATATATATATATATTTTATATATATATATATATATATATATATATATATATATATATATATATATATATATATATATATATATATATATATATATATACATGCTCTCTCTTTTGTTTGTTATAGTATATAATATCTTAATATATGCTATGTATTTAAAGTCTATAGAATTTCGAAAATGTTTTATTTTGTATTTTGAAAAATTGAAAAAGATTAGAAAAAAAAGTGCAAGTGCAAGGGTTTGAAATACTGCAAAGCGCTTCAGAAAGTTGCGGCTAACCACTACAACCATTAAGGTGTATTGTACGACAAATCTTTTAATAGTATTTAATAAACAAAAGACTTTATAAAACGGCAAATAATTGCTATAAATTAAAATTATGGTGGTATTACTGCAATGCAGTTTTTAAGTATAAGTAAAACTGTAAAACTTGATATATGCTTTAACATTACATAAGTTGAAGTTTATTTAAGATAGTTGAATACACTTTCGTTCACATTTTCTATTAATAAAAGGTGCTGAGACTCTTTCTTGCCATTATCTTGGTTTCAATGACTGCCAAGAGTTTCGCTCAAAAGGACACTAACAGTTCTACTAATAAGTTTAGCATTAATATAAAGAGATTCACAAAAAAAAATCACATTAATTTTTCATTTAAAACCTTATAACGCTTATAACACTTTTATTTTTGTTTCAAAATTTTTGTAAACATAGGGGCAAACTAAGATGTTGACAATATTAATACAATTTTATTATGTAAAAACACCACTATATTTGTACTTTATATAGTGAATTATTATATTTTATGTTTATATATTTTTTAATGAAGTAAACAAAAACATAATTTTTAACATTTAAAGAAAAACCCTTTGTTGATATACAACATACAAATAATTTAAAGTTGACCATTCATTGTATTTTAATTTAAAATACAATAAATGGTCAAAAATTACTCGATTTTCAACCTTCTGAAATTATTTGTATGTTTTAATAAAAAAAAATATTGAAAATATTTTGGGGCTAAATATGACCCCCAAATATTTTCAATTTTTTTTTTTTTTATTTAATCAAAAAAATATTCCGTGAAGTTGTTTGGCAAACTTTGAGTTAACAAAAGGTCTATTGAAGGATGAGGTTCTTTATATTAGAAATAAAATCAGGTCATTGCCATGGAGAACGTCTTTATTAAAAGTATTGATTTTTAATGAAAATTTAAAAAAGTGCTGGCTTATTTCTACAGAAGAAAAAATTTAATATCTTTAAGTTCTACATGAATTTTTGTAAAAGCAATTTAAGATTACTTACAAAATTATTTTATATTTTCACTTTAAATCGATATTATTTACTTAGAAGCAAGTTCTGGCTAATTTACATACATTTAAACAAATATATTTTTGCATTTGGTTTGTTTCTAGCATTGAGTTGTTATTTATAGATTTGCAAAACAATTAGTACAAATAAAAAATAAAAAAAACCGCAAAAAACCTTTTTAAAATTATTGTTACATTTCTTAATTTTTTTACTAGTGTTAAACTGTAATATTAGGGTGGTCCAGATTTGTGTGATAAAAATTTAAAATATGTATACTTTCTCTCCACAAGCCTAATTTTGTTCGACTGTGATTAGAGAATAACCATACAAAAAATTGGTCCAATCTGAACAGTTTACAAGTCGCTATGATTTCATCATTTTTTTGACAATACTCAGTTTTTAAAAATTTATACAAATTTTTGTCTAATTTTTGCATAATTGAACATCTATCTCAACACTGGTAAACAAATTAATGCTTGCTGAAAAGCAGATGCTATATGAATTCACTTATATGTCTAATATTTTTTAGTTGTCTATAATTTGGTGCCCAATTTGTAATAGGCAGATGTCTGCAGTATTTCAATAAACTATTTATAATGATTATTTTTTATTTCTGGAAACAAATATTTTCTTATACTTAGTATTCTTATATCAACAGATTCCTCACCACTTATGACAGTTACTTCAAGAAGCTCTGCAGAGGTATGAGTCATTGAGAAGGCATCTAAGCAGCTCTCATCATCAAGATTGGCAACAAATGGAGATATCATCTGGTGTCTCTTCTTTTGTCATCTGGAAGAGTCTCACAATAAAGGAGAGCATTTATCATACAATTTAAGAGCTGATTGTTGTGTGGATTAAGGCAAGAATCCCAACACAAAGAATTGATTTTGGTAAAAGAAAACTTTGAAATTATTGATTCTGGTGAAAGAAAACTTGAAAATCAGAAACTATACGATATCTATCAGCTTCTAAAAAGAATCGAGCTAAAGTCCTAGAAAGCTGTAGAATTAAAGAACAAATGTTCAAGGACACACTTTATGAGCTTTTTGACTTGGCAACTAAAACCGCAATGGAGACAATAACCATTGCTGAAGATAAGCGATTTCTTGCAATGCAGCGAAAAGATTTTACCAGCTGCAGCATACTCAGAGTTGATATGAACTTACTGGAAAAGAAAGCCAGAAAGATAGCTAGAAAGATGAACTTACTGGAAAGCTTCTTCTAGAAAACTAGAAAGATAGCTCGAGATTAGGCATTTGATGCAAGGTCATCAAAACAGCAACACTCCAGTGGTCCTGTCTCAGCCAACAGCAACAACAGCAGCTCAGAAGACAGTCAAGACAGCAATGATGACCCGAGTTTTGAGATTCTGTCTTCTGCATTGCAATCTGCTTCTTCTACACTAAAGCCAAAGCGCCTGAAAAGTGCTGTGTCAAGCCCAGAATTTGCTGAAGCTTTGGACAGAGTTAACCTTCCAGATCACAAAGCTATGTTTGTTGTTGCTTCAGTGGCTAAAACACTAGGACATCCTCTTGCAGACTCAAGTCTGTCTTGAAGTACAATTAATGGATCTTGAATGTCTATTCATAAACACATTACTTAGAATTACAAAGGCAACTTTTCCATTGAATTTCTGTTGCTTATACACTGGGATTAGAAACTGGCTCCAGATAATACAGATTCAAAAGAAACTGGGGACCACGTTGCAGTGATTGTAACTGGAAACGGTTTTGAGAAACTGGTAGCGGTTCCAAAAATTAGAAAAGGAACAGGAGTGGGACAAGCAGCAGCTTGCTTAAAGATCTAAGATGATTGGAAAATTTGAGACAAACTGCAGGGTTTAGTCTTTGACACAACATCTAATACAGGTATTCACAAAGGAGCATGTGTTCTAAATGAGGAAGCAGTTGGTCGTGAGCTTGTAAGTATTGGTTGCCGCAACCATGTTCTGGAAGTTGTTCTGAGCAATGTCTTTACAGCTCTCTTTGGTGGAACACGGGAACCTGAGGTTGGCTTGTTCAAATAGTTTCAAAAGTAGTAGACATATATTCAGCAAGCGAGATTCTCTCCAGTCAAAGATGAGCTCTTTATTGGAGATATGGAAGTCCTTTGAAAGAAAATGGTAGCATTACACACCAACGCCATCAACGAAAAGCAATCTTTACTTTTGATATGTCTGGTCTTCCTTGGGGGAGGCACTGTTGATGCTGAGATAACATTTCGCCCTCCAGGAGCAATGCATCATACTCGATGGATGTCAAATGCCATCCATGCTCTGAAAATGGTACAATTTCAAGATCAGCTTACTCTGACTGTTCAAGAGAAAAAAAATCTTGCTAAGTAGAGCTTGCATTTTTTGTGGCATTAATTTATGGAAGTTTTTGGTATGAAGCTCCGCTGGCTGCAAATGCTCCGTTTAATGATGCTTAAATGCTGAAACAGTTTTAAAAGTATCCAAACCGCACAATTGCCGTTGCAGTTTTTACTGCATTTTCTCGACACCTTAGGTCCTTCTCAGAACATCTTATAGGTCTGGCATTTTTTGATAGTCGGGTTGAGCTGGATGTAAAGAGGGCTATGGTAGTCAACCTCCAACTGCCCAAAACAACTCTAGCACTAAAGAGAGTAGATTCAAAGAATACCGACTTCAGCTGACAAGAAACATTTGTGACTATGAGAACCTATAAAATATTCAAGTTGTTTAGCAGTATAGGTAGAGAAGAGACCAAAAACTTTGTTTCAAAAGATCCAAAATATTGGGAAGACAATTGATCATATCAGAAGTTGGCAGAAAGAATCCAAAGAATGAAAGTTGTTAATGACAGCGCGGAACGTGGAATTGCATTAATTGGACATTACAACAAATCGATTACAAAGAATGAAGAACAAAAGCAGTTTCTTCTTTGTTTTGTTCAACGTCACCGCCAGCTATAACCTACTTTATCCAAGGCAACCTTTTCCTTGCCATGTTGGCGAAAGACAAAATTGTTGATTAATAAACATACATTTTTCAACATATTTACAACATTCTTGCTTAATATTACATTTTTAAAAATTACAAAACATTGAAATACTTTAATGAAAATTGATCAGATGATCTATATTCATTAGATAATTTGCAAGCATTCATGTATACGTGATTTAATTTGTTAGTTTCTGTAGTTTTTAAATTTGATATTAAATAATAGTGAAAACTTAAATTTTTTGATTTTTTATTATAGCTAAAAAGTCAACATTTATAGCAACCCCTAAATATTATCTGATTCAAATTTGGATGCTATATTGCAAATATTACAAACAAAGGCAGCCTTATGGAGAAATAAATTTCAATAATTTATATTTTTGGACCACCCTACTGTAAAATGATACAGTTAAAAAATTTTAATGTTTTAAATATACCTTTAACTTGTGGAAGTGCTGTTGGTGGGATTGTCTCATAAAATGAACAACCTATTTTATAAGAGATTTTCTGACCACTAAATCCATACAAGCATTGACAGTCTCCATAAATATCAACTATAAAACTTGCAACATGCCCATTCTGTGTTGGATTTTTTTTCTGATAATCTACACAAAAGCTTACACACGAGCGCCATGAAATGTAACCAATATTAAATGGATCATTATAGCCTATGAGTTGATTAGAATCCCCTTTTGATAAGTTGCAATTTTTTGATGATGAATCTAAATTTTTTTTTAATTTTTATTAATAACACTTACACGTATTGTAATCAAATGTTAATAATAAAGAAATTTATATATTGTTTATATTCAATATTGACCTAACATGATATCATTCAATATTAATCTAACATGATAGCATTTCACGATGCATACTCACATACTCTTTACTTACAAGCCAGCAATATAAAAAATTAATATTAACTATGTTTGAATAATTATTAAATATTTATTATTATCATATGAATTGAAATAAAATAAAAAAATTTAAAGATAAAACTATTTATATGAAGTAAAGGAGTATATTTAAAATGTTTAAATTATAAATTATTTTTTTTAAACATTCTATACTTTTTATAAACTTTTATAAATATTATGATAAATTTATAAAACATTCAAAGCTTAAATCAATATGTAAGTTTGTTCTGGACAATATTGACTTGTATAATATTTTTATTTTTATATTTTATGTTTTTTTATTATTCTTATATTTTAAAATATTTCACTTGGAACCATCCATATTGAAGTTTTTCCTATCATCTATCATTATCATGTCTAAAAGTAATTTTTACAGGTTTTAGATAAGTCTTCTGAGGTCCCTCAAAGCCTCTGAATGTGCACCCCACTTTTGAGTATAACTTCATTAACTTTATGTTTTTAAAATTATAATACGCAAATAAAAATTAATTTAAAAAAATTTTGATTTTTTTTCAGTTGCCTCCAGTTGTATTGTTCAAGTTTTGACGCTGTTTGATAAAAGAATTAATGAAATTTGGGAAAATGGTGACTTGAAGTAGTAAAAAATGTGTTGGGTCACCATCACAACAAAGTACTGAAGACAAATTGTCTGATGAACCAAAAGAAAATTAACTTCATTTAGATAAAACTAGAAGCAATACTATTAGCACCCTTAGAAATAGTACTAATACCCCTAGCTCGCATAAAGCATTTCTAAGTAGACCTTTGACAAAAAAGTTAACAGATTTCTGGTTAATTGTTCATCTTTCAAAATCAATTAATAGAGCCAAACAGCTTGATTGTAGGCAAATAATGCAACTTGTCTTATTTTAAAGGTATAATACAGAAAATGTCAAAAATAAGGTGAAAAACCAGGATATTGCTTACGTTGTCATTGTTTTTTGTAATACAGCGCAGTTTTGGAATACAACTAAAGCAAGACAGAATTGCATGATTGATATCATGAAACTTTGGAATGAATGGCAAAGTTTGATGAAGAATAAAGGAACATTAGATGATACTGGCACCAGGAGAGCAAACATTATTAAACAATTGAATATTCTTTTTGACATTAGTGCACCAGATGCCGTTGACGAAATAATAAAATCAAGATTTATGACAGACTGAAAAAAAAAAAAATGATATCAATTTCCAAATAGGACCAACCACAGGAAAGAAGAGCATGCATTGATGAACATGATAAAATATTTAAAACTAAATCTGAAAGAAAACTTGAAAGACAAGCATTTTAAATGTTAAGATAAAATAAAAAGCAGTTGGAAATGTTAAGAGAAGAACAGGTTGAAGGAGTTGCTAGAATACTGTGACACAATGAAACAAAGTGTGAAACTGTGACACAATTAAACAAAGAAGATGAGCAAAGAAATAGAAACAGATCAAGATAATTTTGTAACTTGTAAGCTAACTAAGAAAAAAATGCAATGTGATCAGATAACTAGTACTGATGATCGTCTCAAGCTTTAAGACAATCATTATATCTGAAGTAATAAAATCTGCTGTAAGTAATCTTAAAAATTTTGATATTTAATGATTGAAGAATTAAAGTTAGCTCTCACCAATATAGTGCATTGCATTGGAATGGCAATTCTTCTATCTAGGGTTCTGGAATACAAGTAAAGAAAATAATAAGTGTCCCCTCTCTAGTTAACTTGCAATGAGCAATTTAGGCATAAACAATGCTCAATCTGCTAGAATTTTGGGATCTGTCAGACAGAGTTATAACTCTAGCATTTAAAACGGCAGCCAGCAATAGTGGTATGCACAAATGGATGAAAGCACAACTTTGACAAATCTGATTGGGTCTAAATCTCATTCGTTGTGCCACATTTTGAAAATAAGCACTTACTGAAATTTCAAACCAGTTAAGAGTAAAAGATTGACCATTAAAACTTGTCAAAGATGCAATGCAGCATGGTGTCAAGTTTATCTTTGATTTTTCTACCAATCATTACAACTAATAATGAGCAAAGGGGATAGTGGTCAAAGGGTGTCAAGCAGCATAAAAATATATATTCCATTTTTGATAAAACACTAAATTTGTGAAAATACTTTAACTTTTAGTGTGTATAGTGATGTTCCATAAAATTATTTAAAATGAACTACACATACCTGAACTTGCTGAATGTATTCATATTGACAAAAATCTTTGTCATACTTTTTTATAAAAAGCACCTAAAATAAATAACAAAGTTGTCATACCTGGAAACTACAAGAAAAATGTCGATGTTGCTTTATGTCTTCTTTTTCATTTTTTATGAAACTACAGCAACAGCAAGTAAACCATTATTTTGCAATTGTTTAGATAATAATACTTATAATAGATAAAGATACTCTTCAACAAAAGGCGGACATTTACAAATTCAAAAAACCAGTTTTCTAATAACCGTCTTAGTAATGCTGCTATTATTAATGATAAAATGTTTTTTCAAGCATTTGCTGACTGGATGAATTAATGAAAAAACACATAGAAATAAGAAATGAGTAATGTACTTTATCTCCTCAAATATCAACAGTAATACAAAGAACTTTATTATGTCAAGCTTCATTATCTGTAGGAAGATAATATAAATTTATATTGACTTTTTCAAGTGATCAGTTAGGATAAAAATTGGTACAATACTGCCAAATGATTTATGGCAGGTTCCTTGTCAGTTTGAAAGACATTATTTATACTGAGAAGATAATCTAAATAAAAAGTTTAATAAAAAGGAGGAATTCAAATTTTTTGAAAATGAAATTAATGTTGTTTAAGGTACACAACATGCTAGATCCTTGATGGATCAGATCAAAGAAAGAGATTTAGATTGTGTGATTTTATCAAAAAACTTTCATTAATTTGTCGATTATATTGCTGGTTTTATTGCCAAAAACTGATTAAGATGTTTAAAGTATGTTGTAAATTGCTTTGTACTCAAAATTGTAAACAGGAGACAAATGATTATTATTATCTAAATAAATTGTCCAAAGGTAGTTTAACAACTCCATCATTACCGCTTTTTGAATATGTCTGTGACAGTTTTGCTATGCTAGATCATGTATATGATGTTATTTATCAATCTCAAATGCAACACCTTAAATCAGCAAGTTTGTTCATGGCCGTAGAAAAGTTTACCAACCATTTTTATGTTTAAATCACCAAAATTGGGGAAAAGAAATTATACACACTGTTATTTCAAATATTTATTTCAATAAAGAAAGAAAGTCAGTAATTCCATTGTTGAAGATAACATTATTGCCTTTATAAAAAGATATTTTGTTTTACATTTTAAATCAGTTTGTGTATAATTTTTGTATAATTTTAAAGGTTATTTTTGAGATTTAGTGTATTCTTATTTCTTTTACAGTCCAATCCCAAAATTTCTAATTACAAATCTAAACCACGTCTTTCTAAAATCATTTTAGTAATATATAATTATCAAGGTTAAAAATGTTGTTTTGTTTTCTATAAACACAGCATTACTATATTTATTACTAAAAAGAAGCCTCGATTAAGTGTACATAGTTTAGTGAAGTTTAGTAGATATTTTGATTAAGCTAACTCAAAAATTTTATCTAGTTTCAGATTTACTTACTTAAAATTTATAGTGCAATAATTAAAATATTTTGAGAAAGTTTGTCCATCTGACAAAGAATTCATATTTTTAACTGGCCTTTGATTTTTGGTCAAAATCATTATTAAAGTTAAAAAAATGAACTCATCAGCATATTTAGGATTTTTAATCCTAAATATGCTAATGAGTCATATGTTAAATAGTTTTAATATTAGACAAAACAATCATTTCTGCTTTATAAAAGACACATAAAGATTTTAACATATTTATCACATTGTCAATAACCGTTAAAACTTATCTATGATACGCAGAATA